GATGCGTGTCACTTCATGAGACGATGGTGTCACTTCATGAGACGATGGTGTCACTTCATGAGACGATGGTGTTTAGAGACATGGAAGTGGATGGCTAATTTAAAAGTGACTTTCCTGCACGAAGAGGCGGAAAGATCACTCCACTTCCATGTTAGTCAGTCGGAGTGTATTGATCATACCCAGAACATTGGACCATCCATGTATATCAATGTATGGAATATAGATACATGCCTACATTGACCCCCCTGACCACCCCTATCTATGCCAATATGGCAGTCCCATGGGTCTTGTATTGATCACATACATGCATTCATCTTCGTGGAGGCTTCCCCTCTTACATAAGATTACTAAGGCACGTCCTTCACCGTTTGGGGCTCTGCCTGCGTTTTCCTTGCTACTCACGTTCCATGGAAGTGGACCTTGCCTGGTCCATATAGTATCGTCTTCCCAGTGGCCATGTTACACTTCCATGTTAGTGAATCACCGTGTAGTAGGCGTGCATGCACATTGGTTACAGTGAGCAACGCTGCCGTGCGTTTCTCGCAACGCCTTTGGGGGGGAGGGGCGTGGTGGTGCAGCCGGCCGAGAAAAGCCCTAGACATCCATGGCACTCTCCTCCATCCACCGATCTTCCAGCTTTTGACCCAAGGATCCAAGGACCAATCCAACTCATCGATCTCCTGGCCCATCAAGTTGCTCCGCGCCGGCTTCATCCGCACCGCCTGACACCCAACAGGAAACAAAAACGTTCTCGGTTGTTCTTGTTTCCAAATGTTGGCCACGAAAAAACTGCTGCCATGCACATAAATATATATCCTTGTTAAAATAAAGGGGGAGAGGTTGGGGCGAACAGTTTGTAAGGGGACCAGGTTTGGATTCTACAAAAAGCTGTGACCCAAGCTGCTTTGCCATCTGCAAAATGGCATGTACCAGAGCGGTTGTGTACAAAATGATGATGCCTCAAGATTACGCAACTATCTTATGCTTACAAGGGCATAGCCAGCCATACAGCAAAGGGATTTCTCTACAAAAATGGGGTTCTGTAGGTGCCAAAAACTGCATCGTTACAAAATGGCCCCTCTGTAAGGGCCTCAAGCTCTCCCTTTGTGTAGAGGAAATTTCAACGGGGATAAATATATAAGATATCCAAGGCGTTGCAAGTGCAGAAAGTGCACGGAAGCATCAGGTTGACTGTTGATGAACCAAATAAAAAACATCGAGATGTAAACGACCATCCAGCCAGGGAGCGGTAATTCTTCCAGAACGTATGCGGCTCGATCTAGTGCTTTATGATGTTGCATGAACCGTTTCTACCTCTATCCATTTCCAACGGACCCTCCGAACTGGAGGCTTTGGACCCTGCATGCCGTTGCTTTGGACCCTGCATGCCACCTACACCTTTGAGGATCCTTGATGCTCATAGGATATGATCGGGGATGTCTACTGGTACCGGTCGGGGCGCGAGACGACACGTCCCGGCCGCTCGACACGTCCGGACGGTCTCCGTCGCCTTCTTTCGCCGCAGGGGCTCCACCGCCTTCTCCTTCCGCCCGAAGCATCGGAAGCATAGACATCTGCGCGGCCTGCCAAGCGGAGGGGTATGGGGGGGGGGTGTTCAGAGACCGAGATGGCCCCCACAGATGGCTGGGCTCTCGACTTGGTGCAACAGCTAACACCGCAAGCGCACGTGTCCCGGAAAGCACGTCTGGGCAAACTGCAGGGCCTCAAGGTCGGCATAGAGGTCAACGAGCTGGTCATAGTCATCTGAGAGCTGGGATGAGCGCACATCAGGTCGCACAAATCGTCCAAGACCATCCAGGATGGTCTATGAGCTGGTATGAGCTGGTATGGAATCGTTGCATACCAGCATCCGTCCTAGGAGTCCTGTCTGTCCAGACAAGTAGTGCAGGGTTTTTATTCAGTTTACTCAGATGATCCAGGTATACATTGTGATCATGCATGAGGATTATGTCACTTATTCCAGTCTCATGGACGGTCTGGGTTTGAACGACCCCTGAACCACGTGGGCATAGACCATGGATGGTTATTCCCATGGCACCTGCTCCGTGCTACCCCCTGCTCCGCGCCGCAGCGGACTATCGCGGACTCAGATCCAAGCGGCCCATTCGATGAACCTCCGCGGCTGCAGATTCAGCGATTCCAATGACTTCCTCGGCCGAGCTCCGTGCGAAGGCGCTCGGAATCAGAGCGCTCGGCCCCTCCCTCCGCCCGGTCCGTGCTGTCCGTGGCTGATCAACGACCAAAGCCCGGCAGCAGTTGAGCTTCACACTCCAGTCCGGACAGCAGTCGGTCAGCAGTTCCAGCATCTACCCGGCAGTTCCGAGTTGGAATGTTGAATGTAATAAGTATATAGACACCACCCGAACATTCAACATCAACACTTATGACCCCCGATACTTATTACAACTGAATGTAATTGAATGTCGAATGTCGAATGATCAATGTGACTGGTACCAATTGATCTTCGGTTCCACCACTCGATGGGTTCGTCAATCTGCCAGGCCATGGTGTGGACCTTCGGACCTTCCTGAACGCATGATCCCTATCCCTCACCTTCCGACACATCCTTTTTGACTCAACACCATGGGAACGGACGGGTTCTCCTTTGGTTAGTTCTCCTGTCTGCCTAAGTGCTCGACCCCAAATCGGGATGGATTTCAAGGGGTGTGGATCGTATGCCTTACAGTAGGCGTCCCTGGGGATCTTCTGCTCCATTGATTGCGTAGCTCAGCCGAATCACCCAACGACTGCCTAAGGGACCGTGTGTTGCTTGCACTTCGACTCATTTGGATTGATTGATCAATTGAATTGATCGTTGATCATGTATCACACTTCTTCATACTTCCCTCTGCTTGGATCATCTCAGCGCTCGGTACCACCGTGTGCCCACCGTGTGGAGGTCCCCGTGTCCCAGTTTCTCAACGACCTGCCGGGAGTCATAGGATTCAAGTGATTCCCAGAACCCATGGTGAACAGCCGGTGCTGCGGCTGCTCCTGCAGAGCCAGGAGAAAAACTGGACTCAGTGGCTGATGGTTTGCGCCGAAGAGCCCGAAAAAAAGGGCCACGTTGGAAGACGCAGGTCCACAAAAAGGTGTCCGGTCTTGGTTGGTAGCTACGTTGGAAAGCACCATGAAATCAACGCTGCCTCAGTTTTTAAGCGCGAGCTTTAACAAAAGCACATGGCCTAAATGAGCATCCTTTGGCAGATCTGTGTGCCTGAGTGCTTCTGGGAACAAACAAAATGCACACACCAAAAGCGATACAGCTAAGCCAGTTCGCGGACATTGTTCTGCTAGCGGATACCTGCAAACAAAGCCGCGCAACATTTTTGAAGAAGTTTGCTTAAACGGGCCCCGTATACAGGACGACACCGACACCCACATGCTGATCGTTGATATAGGAAGTAAGCTCTCACAGCTACGCCAAAGAGAGTGGATGGATAGGCCGCGCAACCTCCGTGACGCCTCTTCGCCCAAGGGGGGGAGCACCACGCAGCACGCTTCCACCTTCCCCCACATGAATGTACACTGAGCCGTCCACATCGATCCGCCCCGTGGGCCCCGCCTCCTCCTGGTCTTCATCTGTGGCGAAGGTCACGTGGGACTTCACCGTCTTCATCTCGTTCTTCCCGTTTTGACTCGCCAAGCTCTGGAGCTTCTGCACGCCTCTTCAGCTGGCGCTTTTTGCGCTGGCGCAAAAATGCGGGCGACACGAGACGAGACGAAGCTCCTGTGGATGTTGGTGGATGAATGTGCAGAACCACTCAAAGACGGTGCCCAGCAGGTGGCCAGGTGCCCAGGTCCAGAACCGAAGAGAATGTGGGGGTCACGACAAACTAGACCCTCCAAAAATGGCACAAACATGGACTGGCTGGGAAGACCCTTCAAAAAGAATTATATACACCCCGGACGGGGCAGCGGTCGCCGGAGCGGCGAACCGGACCTATGGCCAATGGCCAGCCTCAAACCATGTTCATGGGGAACCAGAGGAAAAGAACAGGACAACCAGAGGACAAGCACCGCCAAAAGCATGGACAGGTGTAGGAAAACAAGAAGAGGATCAGCTGTGAGAGGCCACTCAGCGAACAACCAAAGGACGACCCGGTGACCCACAGTTCACCTGCGCGGTCACCAACTGTGGCCAGTTCGTGTTTTTGCAAGAAAACAACAAAGAGTAAACTGTTTGGGGCAAAACTTCCCAGCAACACCTTTGACGGGCAGCTTAAGCAAACACATATGGTTGATGGGCAAAATCCTGCACCACTGGAAGAACAAACCCATGTATATGCTTGCGCTCCCCCTGTTCAAAAGTTGAATGACCAAAATCCTGCATCACACATGCCAAACATGAGGCAAGATTGAGTTGGGGGGCCGCGGTGGTCTGCATTATATTAGAGGACCACATGTGTTGCTTTATTGATAAAGGATTTTGTCCATCAACAGGTGAAGGGCGCTTCGTGGGTACCACAACCTCCAAGCATCCTAGATCATCCAGTGGGTCACCAAATTAATATGCGACTTACACGTCACTATTTGAATCATCGGACTCCCATTATATATACTCTGATCCTGTCTGACCTCTCCGCTTCTTCCGCTCCTTCCTTTCGAACCGCCTGGCAATCGGTCGACCGCTCTCTCCCCCGAGAAGACCGAGGAGCCCAGTTCCAAGGCGGGGGCCAAGTGATCAGCCCTGAAGGCCACGGACATCCGGTTCAAGGTCCCCAAGACGCCTCGGCAATCAGACACCGTTCGAACGACCATCTTTCAGTTCGGCTCTTCGAAATTGGAGCGATAGGCCGTGCATAGGCCGTGCATAAGGGATTGAGATGTTTTCCAGTAAATTGTTTCGGTTTTTTTTCTGGTACTTTTGCACGTTTTTTCTGGGAGTGTTTTACAAGCATCGGGAGCAGCAGAAAGGTCAGGGGACGAAGCAGCAAAGCCAGCGGGAGGGAGAGAGCGAAACAGTGACAAATGGAGGGAGCAGAAAAGGCACCCCCACTTAACGAAGGAGAAGGAGCAGTGAGGAAAGTGGAGAAAGGAACTATAATAGGGACTTCTTTGCGGTTGTTTTCTGGTTTCGAGTCTCTTAGGAGTTCTTCGATTTTCCCCTCTAAATGTTAACCTTGGGTTGTTACCAACAAAAAACATGCACCTTTGGAATGGCATCTTCCTCCAAAGGCAAGAAGGTGCCCTCTAAATTAGACTCTCGGGTGGTTCAGAAAAGGCATGCGCCTTTGGACTGGCACCTTCCTCCTCTAAATTTTGCCCTCGGGTGGCTCGCAAAAGGCATCCACCGTTGGAATGGCACCTTCCTCCTCGTCTAAGTTTTACCTTCGGGTGTCTGCCGTTTGACTGGCACTTTCCTCCTCTAAGTGTTACCTTGAGGTGGCTCACAGAAGGCACGCACCGCAGGAATGGCACCTTCCTCCTCCACATCTATTCTCGGGTGCCTCATGCACCGTTGGAATGGCACCTTCCTTTTTTACATTTTACCCTCGGGTGGCTCGTTGGAGTGACACGGGTGGTTCGCAAAAGGATGCAAAAGGTATGCACCGTTCGAGTGGGACACAAAAGGTTTGCACTGTTGGACTGGCACCTTCCTCCTCTAGACTTTACGGGCAGCGTTGGAAGCTGGCTACTTGCAGCAGCACAGGATCTCTACTGCAACCAGCGTAGTATTGGAAGCTGGCCACTTGCAGCAACACACCCTCGGTAGACCCGGTAGACCCTGGCCACAGCAAGCAGCGCAGCCAGCAGCGCAGTAAACAGGGCCGCCTTTTGCAGCAGCACTTGCAGCGCTTCAAGCTGCCTATTTGCAATTGCAAAAGCAGAAGCAAGAGCAAATGCAGAAGCAGAACCAAAAGCAAGAGCAAGAGCAAGTGCAAAAGCAGCAGCAAAACCCGAAGCAGAAGCAGGAGCAAAGGCAAGAGCAGAAGCAAAAACAAAAGCAGAACGCAAAAGCAGAAGCAAAAGAAGAAGCAAAAAACAAAAGCAAAGGCAGAAGCAAAAAGCAAAAGCAGAGTGCGTGTGTGAGTGAGAGTGAGAGTGTGGATGAGAGTGAGTGTGAGTGAGAGTGAGTGAGTGTGAGTGTGAGTGAGAGTGAGTGTGTGAATGTGAGTGTGAATGTGAGTGATGAGTGGGCGTGAGTGTGAGCGTGTGTGACTGAGTGAGAGTGAGGGTGAGAGTGAGAGTGAGAGAGTGAGCATCTGAGAGCACAAAGTCTTCGAGGTTCACCAAGTGCTGCGCCTGCCACGAAATCTGCACTTCGAGGTTCACCAAGTGCTGCGCCTGCATCTGCACCTCGAGGTTCACAAAGTGCTGTGCCTGCCACGAAATCTGCACTTCGAGCTTCACAAGGTGCTGTGCCTGTCACGAAAGTGCTATACCTGCCACGAAAACTGCAACGAGCCAGAGGTCGAAAAGCAACGATTCACAGTACCTGTCACGAAATCAGAGCTCGTCGAAGATCACCACCATGTCCAAAGTGCTGCACCTGCCACGAAATCTGCAGTTCGAAGTCAAGCCGCTCCGATTCCCCTGCGCCTGTCACGAAAAGTCGACTTTGAATCACGAAAGCACGAGGTTTCTCTTGCGCCTGCCACGAAAAAGTCACCACCATGTGCGAAAATGCGCACGGAACCACAACGAGAGCGCAGTCGTTAGAAGCACCCGCCGCGGACACCCAGATTCAGCGAGCCGAAATGCATGTGGACGATTTCAAGAGATATGAATGTGCTGTAAATAGCAACGAATTAGCCGGTCACGGCCGCGCGCCCCAGCGATCTAAGCACAGCTGCTTTTCCACTACCGTAAGAACCCCTTAATGTGTCCACACTGTTTTGGGAAAAACGAAAAAAAACAGAAATACCGGTTCCGTGCATAAGCTTCCGAAGGGAGGAAACGAATGAACGGCACCGGTGGCGGTGGAAAGCGGGTGGAAAAACGGGTGGAAGCTGAGGTGAGGTAGAAGAGAGCTGCACCTGAGGGAGGTATATGTACTTGGCATGTCACCAGGATGTACGTGGATCCTTAGGAGGCTGTAGGTGTATGGTAGGTAATATCGTATTCTCTGGAGTGCAATCTTTTTGTTCTCGGCCACTTAAAGGTGGACCCCTGAAGAGTCTTTATTCATTCAGATACCCATGAGCTAGCAAGTCCCGTTCTGGGAGTTTGTTCAGCGGGCCTTTGGAGATCCACGCGTAGTTGAAAAGCCCGGATGAAGTCCACAGCAATCTGAGAGCTCCCCTGTTCGAAATATGATATACAGTAAACCAGCACCCTCCAACAGGTCTCCTCTGGAGGGTTGGGAAGGGCCCTAACAAGTTTCAATTGGTGACCTGTTGGAGGGTGCTGGAATATAGTTAAATGATATTAAATGTGATTCAAATGTAGCTCTGCTTGACAAGCCTCACATAGATTCGCAATCCGAGGACCCACCTATGAAGTCAGATAGATATCATGTCTTAAAAGGGAAACTATCTTCCTAAGATCGTTTGGGTGTGCCACAACCATTTCATTATCTACACTCTACTACTACACTGTGCTGTACTCGATTCTTTCGAAAACGCACGGATGGACTCTGGAGATATTCTATGATAGGTTTATGAGTTCAACACCGCAACAGACCCAGCCCAATGAGGAAACTCCGGATCTGGTGAGGAAATTGGATGAAGAATGATGAAGGCCTGTACAAAGGGTACTGTAAACTGGGCACAAGCTGCCAGTCCCTAAAGGATGAACCTCCAAAAAATCTCCAAAAAAACCTCTCGATCGGGTTGAACACCCTGGTCCCCGACTTCCCACCCCTCAAACCGACGTTTCGTTTCGTTTCGCGCGCCTCGTTCGCGGATGGACCGGCGAGTCAGTGACTTGGTCTGCTTCTCCGTGGTGTCTCGGACCACCACCAGCTTCGGCTTGTCCTTGACCTCGCGGAGTGAGCTGTTCGAACGAACTGGTCGACAGGGCTGCCCAAGATGGAGGAGGATAAACCCCCTGATGATTCCTTCCCTCCTCCTAACCCACGAGCACCACTCCAAAGGGTGTTTGCTTCGAATCCCTAAAAATGCCGTGAGGAGTGTGCTTTGGACAGCAAGGGGCTAGTCTACAGGCATCCCTAACTCACCTGGAATATTACGATCTGCGTGGTGATTTGGACAAACCTCAGAATATGCATTCTTTTTGCTTTTTTGGAGAATCATTCACCCCAGAAGTACAGAAACGTGCTAAATCATACTAAATCCGTAAGTCTATATGTAAGTCTCCAAACTACCAAAGCATCCAGGTTGTAGGTGTTCCACAAGGTCGCAGCATGTGAATTCAGTCTGCGGCCCGAACCGGCTCCAAACACGCCAAACACCCATCCCAGCCCCCAGCGGCGCTGGTTTCGCCCGATCCTTCCGGTACACGAGCCACCGGACTGAGTTCGCAAGTTCGGTGTGCTTCAAGAATCGCCATGTGCTTCTAGGCCCTACCCCCGGACTGGACTGGACTCACTGGATTTTCCTATAGATCCCCCCCCCCTATCCCTCCCACCGTCTCGACCTCACACCGCCTGAGACCTGAGACCGTACCGACCTCCCTCCGACCGCCGGCAGCCAAAACCCGCCTTGCCCACCTCGATGATGAGATCACGAAAGTGATGCGTGTGTGGCACTGCCAGATCAAAGTCGAAGGACTCGTGGCTTTCGCCTCGAGTGGAGGAGAGAGGGACTGGAACCGATGTTGAGGGATGTGATCCGTGGGAAGGGACATCCGTGGGGGCAGCCCCCGGTTCGGAAAGGGTCGCAGCCAGCTGAGAGGAGGGAGCAGATCTTCTTCCAACGTCGTGACTGTTCCAACCAGGATTTGTTGTGAGAATGATCTCCAAAACCAGGCGCCGTTCATCAGTGTTCACCAGTTTGCTAGGACGGCCAACATCTCAGGAGCGGGACCGTCCCACTCCCGCCTTCCCCGGGAACGCGCGCGCACGCGCTTTCCGCGCGCGGAACGGCGCAGGTTCGACGGCGCGATTGACGACACGCCTCGCGCGCTGAGGGTCAGAGTCATCCAGGTGTCGCCGCCCCAGAGATGAGAAAAGAAGGGACATTCACCTCGGGTTCGATCAGGTTGTCGGGAGTGAGATGGAGATCGGACATGTGAAGGTCGAGTGAGAAAAGGCCCGGGATCTGGTGTGAGGTGCTCACGGGAAGAAAGCCGATTAGCAAAGTCCCCCTGTCCGCCAAACCCAATGATGTCTGATGATGGTCTCAAACAACTATAGTTGTGAAGGGGGTTCTTTGGACAATGATCATGTGCAACTATGTATAATATATATGATAATATATACTGTAGTTATATAATATAGTTGCTTGGGGATGCAGCAACAAAATATGTCCTTGTCATCCTTTTGTGAGCCAAAGCCTCATGAAATGACTAACCTGCTGCGACTGCAGAAACCAGGTTTCTTCCGTGCTCAAAAATCGGTGTTCACGCCCCTTAAAGACCCCTTCAAACTCTCAAGTCTTGAAAAGGCCAACATGTTACACACCGTTAATGACATACCCCCAAAAATCCATGTGGGTCATTCCACTCTACAAGCAGTTTCCCCGCGAAACGCGGTCCACCCTATGCACCGGAGGTTTCCACCAAGCATCCGTCGCCCTTCTGCAAGTGCATCACCCAACCTGTGGCATTCTTCGGCGCAAAGCGACCTGCAGGGGAGGGGCGTCACGGGGTTGGTCGGGCGGCCAATTGCTGTGAAGAAGGATATCGATAAAGAAAGTGACCAACGACCGGGGTTCCACATACGGTTCAGCCAGATGTACCCAGAAGCTCCAATGACTCGTGTTGCACCATTTTACCCCACCTGGTCCACCACTGGTTAGGGGATAGGATGAGTGGAGCGAGAAAAAAGACATTGACAACCTGATGATTGGACCTTGAGATCAGGTCCAAGCTCCCCGGCCCGACCCTTTGACCCTTTGAACCCATGTTTGTTTGAGGCACAACGCGCGCGCGCGCGCACGCGCTGATGGTCCGAAACATGGAGGTCATCCGTCTAAAATGGGTGTCCTGTCCTGTCTGGTCCATGATGTAGAGCAAAGGAGTCTAGCCTGGTGACCCGGAAGATGATTCACACGTATAGTCTTTATGTCATGGTTAACAGAACCAATCAGTTGAATAGTAAATGCATTTGCAGCCGTCCAACATCTCCCACCAGGGCGGAAGTCACCCGTTTGTTACCCCTTTCTTTGATACCAGCATGTCTCTTTTATGGCACCGAGCAACCAAAAAACCACTACCTTCGCACTGCTATGTCTGTTCTATGTCTGTTGAGTAGTACACTTCAGCGTACTACTTCAGCGTATTTCCTCCTTTTTTCAAGAGGTGCATCTACCCAAAACGCTCCATTCACAGGCACCCAAACCGAATTCGTTCGGGTCTGGAGCTCCGGAGCTCCTCCCTTTCTGAGGGTCTTACTAAGGAAGGTAAGCCTGAACTAGGACTCAATAGTGGTACATATGGGATGCGCGCCATCTAGGGGCTGTTCAACCTCTCTTGGTCTGGGAAGATCCAGTCCGGAGGACCTCTTGAAAGGCCTTCAAGGCCTCCCCCGACGTCAGACGCCACTCCGAGCGGCACTTCTCGCTGGACTTGTTCTCGATGAGGAACGGGTCCTGGACCCGACCCCAAAGGAGACTCCAGCGGTGTGGACTTCAGGCAAAACGAAGATGTGGACTTCAGCTGCGAACGCAACTGGGACTGACTGGGACTGGATCAATTGATGCATGGACTGGTCCTCATCCTACAGAAGCACGTCCTAATCCAATATCGAATCCAGGACTTCTCTCAGCGACATGACTTCTCTCAGGAGTCACAAAGGAGTGGTTCATGGACACCCCGAATCACCTCTTTTTGCTATCAATAGACACCCCAAACCGGGTGTCCTGGTATTTTTCCTACAAAAAAGCATAGGAATCTCACCATCTCAAGCCGTGTCACGTCTGTCACCTGAAAAGACTGGTCTATGGAACCCGTCGCCTATTTCAATATTCACCCTTAGCTTTCAAAGACCTCCAAAAGAATTATTTACCTGGTTTTGGTAGTGCAACATCGTCAAACCATGGTTCTTTGGGATTCAGACCTAACAAAATTACTGGTTCTTGGAATCCCTATAAGGGCACCCACCCACATCCCACAAACCCCTCTCCTGCTTGCAGGCCGACAGCGTGAGCCGTAGGAATCCGCTGAGCTCGTCGCGTGCCACGGAGACCTCCACCGTGTCCGCCTCACCTGGCGACGGCGGTACCGTGGTGGGAGGATAAAGACGCGGTGGGAAGCCCAAAGCGCTCCATTCACAGCCCCATCATGATCATCATGCCTTGGCTCCAAACCCTTTGGGAAGAAAATTGAATGCCTGGCCGAAACCCGACGCCAACCTGCCCACAACCTGCAGGTGAGGGGCCTCCACCAATGATGTCCTTCTGGGAATAATATCGGGATCAGTTTAAGACCATATACCTCGGGTGTATCCCATTCCTTGTAACAGTGCATGACGACGACTACGACGACGACGGACGACGAAGACGACAACGATGACGATGATGATGGTTGGTGAAGGCCTTTCTCAAAAATCGTGATAACCTCTTATCGACTGTTACAGGTCAGGGGACACACACACACTACTATAATTATATACCTATTGCTTGGACACAACCAACGCGGTCTCCGCTCCATTCATCCACGCACCCAGGCCGTGGTGAAACACGGCCTAGCCCGCCTCCACAGCGCTGGCGAAAGAAGCCCCGGTAAGTGGTCATGCTCTCGGACAACGTCAGTGGCTGCGACCACTCGAAGGAATTGCCTAGGGCAGGGCGGCAGGGGCCATTCGGACCGTCGTGTGGAACAAAAACACCCCAACCAAATCCACCGAAGAAAGGGGCCGCCAACAATTTGGAACACTGAAATTCTGGCTGTCACCTCAACAAACTGTTAGGTCATGTCTATAGGTCCTATTTTTGAAACCCCCCCAAAGAAGGGGAGGTCAAGCTTGTGTCCAACTCAACGCACAAAAAAACATACCAGCACCTTCATGTCGGGGTCACCTGGCTGGTTTCGCCCTAGCCCACTACTATCACCTCCAGACACTTGTCCACCCCTGTCAAGAAGGTCCAGGTAGCGGTGTAGCCCATCCCGGCACGCCCCCTCTCCGCTCGGAGCGCCGCTCCGCGCGTAACGCGCGGGCCGAGGCCTTTGGCGTCCACGCCCGAGCGCTTCATCTGGAAGAGCATCTCGTTCCTGGCGAGAACAGCAACGACCGACCAGGGAGAGGGTTTTCAACCGGCCCCTAAGTGCCACACTCTCCCAGCATACGATTGGTGTTCTCTTTCAAGACTGGAGGGCCTCCAAGGGGTGGATATGGAGGCCTGCTTGCAGGTCGCACCGATGTAGAAACCGGTGCCAGGTGGCTTGGCTTCCCCCGCCTGTTTACACGCGGACCACCCAGGGAGCAGGGAGCTGAATACTCCATCTGTCCATTCCCATTCAGGCTCTGATTCTGAAGCAGGGTCATGGTCCGTTTTCTGTCGGGACTATAGCACCAGAAAAGAACCACCCTAATGCAATGGCCTAAGGACCCAGGAACCCGCAGGGTTAAATGTTCAAATATGATATAATATATTGATATATATTATATATATATATATCATCCATAAACAAAGTCCATATTGGGGATGGTCATGGTCGGGTCCCCTTGCCCTCTACAATCCTCTACAGGCTAAAGGAACCAGGGGGGCTGACCCACACCATGGATTGTGTCAAATCCCACCTATGTTTCTCTGTTCACCAATGGGTTTGCATGGCACCCGATTTTGGAATCTGCAGAAGCGTTTTGGATGCCAACTCTGTCTGTGAACTACGTAGTGGCTTAGGTGTGGAGTATCAATAGGCGCCTGTTCAAGCCTGACTCCCTTTAGGGTAGGCAACCCAGCAGTTCGAGCTCAAAGCGCCAGCAGCTGTCCAATTTGGCCAAGCGTCTTAGAGCTTGGCCACAAGTCCACTTCCTCTTCCAGATCAATCGTCTGACCTGGCTGTCAGCGAGATCGACATGGTTTCTGTCGCGAAGGGCCCGGGAGTTGAGGGTGGACACTCCACCGAGCGAGTGAGTCAGCCCGGTGGACCTAGTTCCAGGGCTGGAGGAGGTGCAAACAGTCGGCCCCTAGACAACCTTAGACTGGCTGGTTTGGCACGAAGTGCATACACCTTGCAATGAATCGTGACCTGATGCTACCTCCAATGTTGGAGACCCTAAAATCAGCCAAGCCCTCCGCGAGGTGGTCTCAAGTGCTGACCTCGTGCGGTTACTGTACATCTGAATCGACTGGGAAGACGACATCCCCATTCAGTTCGCAGCCGACTCAGACCAATTGAGACCCTCTCAGCTTGACCTCCTGAGCATGAGACTGGCGTGTAAAAAAACAATCCGTTGGGGGTGGTTGAAAAAGGTATTAACGTAGTGTATATCGTAGTATTATATATATATATTTATATTTATATGTATTATGATCATAAGACCAAATTACATAACTATCCCATGCATGAAGGGCCGTTCACCAGGAGAGGCCGGACCCCTGTTGCAGTCCGGGCCCCGCCTGCATCGGAGGAATCCGCACGCACGGTCACAGGCCACTTGGTTTCATTACCTGTGAGGGCAGTGACATGTGACCCATGTGGGTTTGTGGGCGTCGCAGGTTGGTTTGTGGGTTCAATAAAACATATAGAAATAATTAGAACAATCACAGTGGTTGGGATGAATCATTTCAGGAAGAGGTGAAACCACAAGTCTGGTTGAAACCACATGTCACCAGATTGTTAATGTAGGGATCAAAAGGCAAAAAATGAATCAAAAAACAACAATATTTCAGGGGATCAAGAAAATCAAAACTGAATCAAAAAAACAAACGGAGCCACGCATGCGAAGGGAAGAGCAATAGTCCAGACGATGCAGTGATCAAAAGGTTTTTAAAAACAAGATGGAACAACGAGCCCGAATGCAAACACGTTCGAAAAACTACATATGTCCAAATGACACTCTTGTAGGACACTCTTGTGGGACACTCTTCTGGGACACTCTTGTAGGACACTCTTGTAGGACACTCTTGTGGGTCACTCTTGTAGGAAACTCTTGTGGGACACTCTTGTAGGACACTCTTGTGGGTCACTCTTGTAGGACACTCTTGTGGGTCACTCTTGTGGGACACTCTTATAGGACACTCTTGTAGGAAACTCTTGTGGGACACTCTTGTAGGACACTCTTGCGCGACACCCTTGTAGGACCCTCTTGTAGGACACTCTTGTGGGACACTCTTGTAGGACACTCTTGTGGGACACTCTTGTGAGACACTCTTGTAGGACACTCTTGTGGGTCACTTGCAGGACACTCTTAAGGGACACTCTTGTGAGACACTCTTGAGCGACACTGTTCCGGGACACTCTTGTGGGACGTTTTTGTGGGACACTCTTGTGGGACACTCTTGTAGGACACTCTTGTGGGACAGTCTTGTAGGACACTCTTGTAGGACACTCTTGTGAGACACTCTTGTGGGACACTCTTGTAGGACACTCTTGTAGGAAACTCTTGTGGGACACTCTTGTGGGACGCTCTTGTGGGACACTCTTATAGGCGGACACTCTTGTGGGACACTCTTGTGGGACACTCTTGTAGGACACTCTTGTAGGACACTCTTGTAGGACACTCTTGTGGGCCACTCTTGTAGGACACTCTTGTAGGACACTCTTGTGGGACACTCTTATAGGACACTCTTGTGGGACACTCTTGTGGGATACTCTTGTAGGACACTCTTGTGGGACACTCTTGTAGGACACTCTTGTGGGACACTCTTCTGGGACACTCTTGTAGGACACTCTTGTAGGACACTCTTGTGGGTCACTCTTGTAGGACACTCTGGTGGGACACTCTTGTAGGACACTCTTGTGGGACACTCTTATAGTGCACTCTTGTGGGACACTCTTGTGGGACACTCTTGTAGGACACTCTTGTGGGACACTCTTGTGGGACACTCCTGTGGGACACTCTTGTAGGACACTCTTGTGGGACACTGTTGTAGGACACTCTTGTGGGACACTCTTGTGAGACACTCTTGTGGGACACTCTTGTGGGTCACTTGCAGGACCCTCTTGTGGGACACTCTTGTAGGACACTCTTGTAGGACACTCTTTTGTGGGACACTCTTGTGGGACACTCTTGTAGGACACTCTTGTGGGATACTCTTGTCGGACACTCTTAAGGGACACTCTTGTGAGACACTCTTGAGCGACACTGTTGCGGGACACTCTTGTGGGGCATTTTTGTGGGACACTCTTGTGGGACACTCTTGTAGGACACTCTTGTGGGACAGTCTTGTAGGACACTCTTGTGGGACAGTCTTGTGGGACACTCTTGTGGGACACCCTTGTGGGACACTCTTTTGGGACACTCTTGTGGGACACCCTTGTGCGACACGCTTGTAGGACACTCTTGTAGGACACTCTTGTGGGTCACTCTTCACGGAAACTCTACGGAAACTCTTGTGGGACACTCTTGTAGGACACTCTTGTGGGACACTCTTATAGGACACTCTTGTGGGACACTCTTGTAGGACACTCTTGTGGTACACTCTTGTAGGACACTCTCGTGGGACACTCTTCTGGGACCCTCTTGTAGGACACTCTTGTAGGACACTCTTGTGGGTCACTCTTGTAGGACACTCTTGTGGGACACTCTTGTGGGACACTCTTGTGGGACACTCTTGTAGGACACTCTTGTGGGACACTCTTGTAGGACACTCTTGTGGGACACTCTTGTGAGACACTCTTGTGGGACACTCTTGTGTGTCACTTGCAGGACACTCTTGTGGGACACTTTTGTAGGAAACTCTTGTATATCATACAATATCATCTCATGTGAGCTTCAACAAAATTTGCACCACACCACACACGTTTGGAATGATTTCAACCCGTTCTGAGCACACTCCCATTCACCAAAATCGCCATTTCAGCTGCGACTTGTCACGAAAACCGAGCTTCGATGCCACACCCTGAAACGCAAATCCCAATGGCAAGGCCACATCCAACACCCCAAAAACACGACTCTCCAAACGCTAATCCTAATGGAACTGCACAGCAATCTGCGGATCTCACAAAACGCTGCGCCTGTGCAGCGAAATGCATCACGTTTCTTGCGCGACATGTCATTGTCATGCAATACAATGGAATAGCGGCGCAAACTGACACGTGACACATCCATGAAAAGTCACTTGCAAAAGCTTCCCCCAATGGCAGCAAATTTGAGACGCGACGACGACGACAAACGACGACAGACGACGAGAGACGACGACACGACGCACGCCACGCAAACATAGCTCCAACCCCCAGACCCCCAACTATAAACGGGAACCCTTCGCTACGCATTCGGGAAAAACACATCAAAACAACAAACAGGAAAGCAACATATATATATGTTTATACAAAACCCTTATATATGTGTATATATCCATATGTATACACACATATAGATATATCTATAGAATCACAGAGTCGAGACATATATTTGTGGGTTTAACCAAAGTATTCTGCACTTGCAACAGTATTACAATTAGTCCAATATATTGTATTTTATTGATATCTGCACACTTATGCACACTTGCTACCACCCGCCCGGATCTGCACCAAAGGCTGCTTTGCTTTCCAGAAGCCTTCAGCATTCTCATTTGAATCTATATCTCCCTCTCTCTCTCTCTCTTTCTCTCGCACACACGCACACACTCTACTTCAGCAGCAGCACAGTGCTGACGACACTGGCCTGCAGGCAGCACAGCTTTGCAAGCTGGCCACCTGCAGCACCTTCGTTCCTTCCTTCCTTCCTTCCTTCCGCTTCCTTCCTTCCGCTTCCTTCCTTCCGCTTCCTTCCTTCCTTCCTTCCTTCCCAAAGCTACGCCCAAAAAATACTATGTACAATTTAAAATGATTTTACCACAAACATATAACCCCGATATCAGTGAACGAAGCCACGAAAAGCCAACAGAAGCCAACCGAAGCCACGAAAAGCCAACAAAAGCAACCGAAAGCCAAAGCCACCAAAAGCTAAAAGCCACCTCAAGCGAAAAGCCACAGACCGTCAGCCTTCCTTCCTGCCCTCCTTCCTTTCTCCCTTCCATACTGCTTTCCTGCCTTCCTGCCTACCTTCCTTCCTACCTTCCTTCCTTCCTTCCTTCCTTTCTTCGCTTCTTTCTATGTGTTTTTTTGATGCCTGTTGTTTTCTTTTTGATGCATTTTGTATAATTGATTGAGACATTTTTGTGTTTTTGTTGATGCGTCTCCCATTGTTGATCCACCGACATCCTCGCAATTAACCCGAAGATGGAGCCTTGGAGGATGACCTTCGCTGACAGGCAAGGTCCATCACATGTAAAATTTGACAAGTCCATGCCAATCCGAGAGTTGAGCACTACGTCATGGTCCATCAAGCGCATCAAGGGGTTGGGCGCTCTTTTTTTCCATGTCGTGAGTCGTGATTGCTTTTTCTTATCAACCTTCTCTAACCCCTTCCGGAGGTCTCGGTCTCACCGAGAGTCTCACTATCCTCGTCTTCCAACCCACGGCTCTGGCTCTGGCACCGCCGAGCCCCCGAACTCTTCACGTGCCCGAGCGACTCACGCGGACCCACGGAAAGATGTGCACTTCCAGGCTCCCTTGATGCACGCTGGTCCTCACCTGCCCGCGACAGCCCGTGTCTCGGCTCGGCCCGGTGTCTCGGCCGTCGGCCGTGGTGTTCATGCTGGTTCCCTGCTCCAAGCCGAGGCCCGGCCCAAACGCAGCGTCGCCCCGTCCGGAAACCCATCTCCTGGTCCCGTTCGACTCGCGCGGCGAGTCCGGCGAGTCGGTGGCATGGCTCCTTCTTTGGGGTATAGGGAGTGTGTGGATGTGGATGATGTTGTGTGCTGATCCTGGCCCAACAACTCCATGTTTGATCTAAATGGATTATAAATAAAATGGAGTTTTGATGAGTCGGGTGGAGATGTAGGGAAAGTGAAGAAGGAGACATCACAATCAAAAACAAGATCAGTCGCCGTCGCTGCTTTGTTCCTGTCACCTCAAGGAAAGTTTATTTGTTCCATTCTCAAGTGTTGAAAAGTTCCAATCACTTTGGGACCTGTCCATGCCCTTTCCATTGTCTCGAGACCTAAACCCATTTCTTCAGACCTGCTGCCTTGCCACAACGAAACCCTCGCCAAAACCCCCCGGTCGATCAATCACGCGGACCCGACGAGCGGCCTTGTAGAGGTCCGGCGGCTTGTGCTGCATGGTGATCATGGAGGTCATTCGACGCGTCACTCGACTCACACGCTTCGACACGGCGCCACTCATCCGGCTGTTCGCGCGGAAGGTAAAGGAGTGCGATTGAGACTGCGGAAACCTCGGGTCGCAAGTCCGAAGCATTGACGCTGGGCTGGGTCTTGGGGCGAGGGAGTCAAGGCCTGGAGGTTCAAGGCCTGAATACATTCAGATGATGCTGAGACTGATGCTGAGGTTTCTGCACCTGAATTCAGGGGTCACCTGGCTGGAAGACCCTACACTACTGGATCTTCAGACTGGACACCCCGAAGGGACGGTCCAGACATTCACAACCATTGACCTACTAAGATATCTAAGGGATGCTAAGAGCATCTCCACTTTCTGGCCCTCTTAGAGCCAATATGTAGACTAGACGAGTAACTTCGCTTTCCATCTTGGAAACACGCCAGCCCTTTCGGGGAGTGAAGTTTCACCCCAACAAGAACCGAACTCGTGCCCCAAGCAACTCCAGATGCTGGTGTTCGCGCACCTGTGCGATGTCGTAACCTGAGGCGTGTGGCTTCGGTCGCGGACGGAGGGTGAAAGAGAAGGATAGACATGGGGCGGTAGTGGTGAGAGGGGTAGTGGTGAGCTCATGGACTACCGAGCACCCGAAGAACGTCCACCAAAAGAAAGTCCTCTTGGCAACCAATCGGCTACAAGCAGTGAATTCTGAGGAAAGGCGTTTGGGAGCCTTCAGCATGGCTTCAACGGGCCACTGCCATCCGAAACATGCGAAACAACTTTAAAATATGATACCATCTTAATAGACCCAAAACAATCCAAAAAAGCACCGAACCTTAACGGAAGTATTTGGAGCCCTACAAGCTCCAAGACGCAAGGATCGATTCCGTCCCGCCGTGAATGGAAGGATGGAAATGGACGATCCTCGAATTTGCCTGGCCTGACCCAAGGATCAGATTCCAGTCATGCATGCAAATCAAGACGAATCGAGACTCTCTCAACAGGTTTACCCAACCCCCTCTGTAGGTGTATAGGTGGTAATCGATTGACAGACCGTGATTGAAGTCTTATATGAGATTGGCAAAGGGCAAACAAAGGGAGAAAACATGCATGTCTTAATATCTTAATCTTAGCTTATCATCTGGGCGAGCTCATTTTATGCCCCTTTAATGACTTTCCCGGTTTGATCTCATCGGGGAAGATTCCCACCCAGTTGGCTTCTAGACGGCCCACTCTAGCATCCCATCTTTACAAAGGCCCATCGTGACATGGATTCTGCATCTCAAAGAAACAGGACCCCACGCCACCACACGTCACCACGCGTCACCAGCCCCTGGGGCTGTGGGCCCAAAATCTGTCACACTCAGTTCGAGTTTATGTGTATAGAGAGAGAGAGAGACTCTTGATAAATAGCCCCCCATTTGGATGCTCTTCAGGCCTGGGAGGGCATTGAGTTGATCAAGAGTCTACTCACCCTCACCCCCCGCACGTTGGCCCGCGGCACGGTGCGTGGGGACCCGGTAGAGCTCTTCTTCTGACACCTCAGCGCACCCAGACATGGCCGGGCCAAGCAAAGATGGTTTTGGGATGTTTAGGGAACATTTAGGGCCAGCAAAAGGGGAGGATCTGTGAACAAACGGCCACCTGGGAAGATTCCTCCACTTCCACTCACAGGCAACTTGTTGGAGTTTGGTGAGAGGCAGAGACTTGCTGGGTGCAGATAGGTCGGGCACAGCGTGTTCAGGTAAGTTCACACGCTGTAAGTCTGAAAAAAAAACATGGGTTGCCAGAAGAGCTGTGACCCAAAAAGCTGAACCCTCCGTCGCGTCGTGACTTCTCGTGATCCCTCGCTCGCGACGACGGAGCGACCGCTCGCTCCGACCGCTGAGGCGCCACTTCGTCGACCACCGCGCCCAACAGGAGCGCCGGTGCGCTGGAGGAGACCTGGAGTGGCGGATCGAGGGTGCACCTGCCACCGGGCTGAGGATGGTACGGGTACGGGGCGTAAGGGGTTTTGGCTGGTAGATGATGGCCATGGGGGGAGGGCAATCTCTTAGGGTTCTCATGTTCCAAACGCTTGGGATGCAAATTTAGAATTTTTAGGTAATGGAGACCGTTAGTGGGGGTTACCAAACATAGCCCACAGCAACCAGAAATTTCCCAAGAGAAACATATGGAGACACCCAGGCAAAATCCGACAAACTCTGAGTATAGTTGGTGTTTAAATAGTTCTGATCGTCGAAATCCCAAATTGTCTAGATACTGTCCCTGGACCAGCTGAAATACTCATGGACCTGCAGCTGAAATGTTCATCATCCATAAATTGGCATCACAATATCATGACACTGTCTATGAACCAGTCCCCTTTGAGCCCTTGATCCTCAACATCCAAACTCACCAGAGGTGGCTTGCTCTCTTAGGCCTTACAGCCCGCCCACAGGCACCTGAGGCATGCAGGCGACTACGCTCTGAATCCGACCTCTGCCAGCCCCTATCCCCTCTCCTCCGCCCAGGCACATTCTCCGGCGCAGCCGTGCGGAAGGAGGGCGGGCTGTACCAGGCGAAGTTCAACACGCCCTCCGGTGGCAAGTAGAACAACGGCGCCGAAGGGTGGTCCTCGCGCCGGCGGAAACGGACTGCTCCACCGGGATCGTTGTGGCTGTGGTTGTTTCTGTGTTGTCCACGGTTCTTCCACGGTTCTGGAAAAAAAACATCATCAAGGGGTTGCAACAGGCTTTATGCCAGTCGGCCAGACTGTTTCATGTGTTCTTTCAGAGTCCGCCCGGCTTTGTGGACTCTTCCACCCCTCACACCATCGAGCTTGTGGTCGCACCGTGCCCTCAAAGGCCTCGTGGTTCGGTCCAGGCACTACCACCGCCCACGAGGGTCGACGGTCCAAGCCTTTTGGGTACCACAAAGAGGATGAAGAACGACTCAGAACCACCATGCCACACTCAGACTCCATTGAGACTCCCCCCCAAGTCACAAGACTGGCGCGCTCCTGGCGGAAACAAACGCTGCTCCGGGCGCGGTTCACCATGCGGAACTGCGGCTTTGGAGGATCCAGGAACCGCAAGATCAGCGCCGAGGAGACCTGCGGAGCAAGGCAGGTCACTCGTTTCGCCCCCTTCCCCCCGGGGTTATACACCGAAACATACCAAAACCAACCGCCAAGGAGTCAACCATATAACACATGCCACTCGCACAGACTACTGAGACTACTGTACATATTGCACACGGAAACCCAGCATGTTTGGTCCTCATGGCCATGCTCCAAACTCGCGTGAGGGTCTTCTTTGGCTCCGTCCGCCGGACCCCCCTTCGGTCCATCGGACGCCTCGAGGGCTTCCACGACCAAGAGTCCCCAGCGCGTGCCGCTGAAGGCCTCGCGTGTCCGGTCGCCGCGCGTGCCGGGTCACCGCGAAGAGGAGGTCCACTAAGGTTGCAAAAAGCAACGATACATGATCCTGTGTGAAAGTACCGGTGTACCTTAAGCTCAAGCTCTCAGATTCAGAGTTTATGCGGTAGGGGATAACACATGTGTGTATTTGTAATAGGGAGGCACCCAGCCAATGGGCCCCGTGCCCTGGTTTCCTTCTTCTGGGTCTGGGGTCTTTGGGAGGGTCTCCCTATAAACACAACCACATGCCAGCACCTTCCTTTCGGGGTCTCCAATGGACTACCCTGCACATGCATCATTACAGTACCAGTAGCTGTGGATCTCCATTGAAGACCCCTTTGAAGGTCCAGGCAACAAGACCAGACCATTCTCCACTGAAAGAATTGAACTACATTGAAGACTAGACTCTAGACTTCTTCCAGATTTATATATGATGGATTTCAAATCGTTCATTTTAGATATTTTAGGAATAAAACGACGTGCTGTTAACATCCTTCATCCCATCCATTTCTTCAAACCACCGCCGTCGTCGTCTCCTTCGGGAACCAACGCCGTGGGGGGCAATGCGTGTTCCTTTTCCATGATCTCACTAGAAAGAAGACCAACACCCAACTCACCCCGCCCTCACCCCACACCCTCCAAAACCCCTCACTCCCCCCCGTCACCGGACCGCCACCGGAAGGCGCCAGCCTTGGAGGAGTCGAGGCTCGCCAAGCTCTGCGTGGAACTCCGCTGTTCCTCCGAGGACACCTGAGCGCGGGGTGGCGAGCTGAGACGAACGATCGGCCAGGCGCGGACCGGGACCGGAAAACGACCAAGACCAAGAGGGGAATGAGCGGAAGGTCTCTTACCGGTCATGTCTTGCGTGATGATCGTCATGTCCTTCTTTGGAAGGAGGCGGGGAACCTCGGAATTCAAAAAACAAGATGGAACCCACGAACCCGAATGCACACACGTTCGAAAAACTACATATGTCCAAACGACACTCTTGTGGGACACTCTTGTGGGACACTCTTCTGGGACGCTCTTGTAGGACACTCTTGTAGGACACTCTTGTGGGTCACTCTTGTAGGAAACTCTTGTGGGACACTCTTATAGGACACTCTTTTGTGGGACACTCTTGTGGGACACTCTTGTAGGACACTCTTGTGGGACACTCTTACACGACACTCTTGTAGGACACTCTTGTGGGACACTCTTGTGGGACACTCTTGTAGGAAAGTCTTGCGGGACACTCTTGTAGGACACTCTTGTGGGACACTCTTGTGGGACACTCTTGTGGGACACTCTTGTAGGACACTCTTGTGGGATACTCTTGTCGGACACTCTGAAGGCACACTCTTGTGAGACACTCTTGAGCGACACTGTTGCGGGACACTCTTGTGGGACACTCTTGTGGGACACTCTTGTGGGACACTTTTGTGGGACACTCTTGTGGGATAATCTTGTAGGACACTCTTGTAGGATACTCTTGTGGGACAATCTTGTGTGACACTCTTGTAGGAAACTCTTGTGGGACACTCTTGTGGGACACTCTTGTGGGACCTCTTATAGGACACTCTTGTGGGACACTTTTGTGGGACACTCTTGTAGGACACTCTTGTAGGACACTCTTGTGGGTCACTCTGGTAGGAAACTCTTGTGGGACACTCTTGTAGGACACTCTTGTGGGACACTCTTATAGGACACTCTTGTGGGACACTCTTATAGGACACTCTTGTGGGACACTCTTGTAGGACACTCTTGTGGGACACTCTTGTGGGACACTCTTGTAGGACACTCTTGTAGGACACTCTTGTGGGTCACTCTTGTAGGACACTTGTAGGACACTCTTGTGGGACACTCTTATAGGACACTCTTGTGGGACACTCTTCTGGGACACTCTTGTAGGACACTCTTGTAGTGTGGGTCACTCTTGTAGCAAACTCTTGTCGGACACTCTTGTAGGACACTCTTGTGGGACACTCTTGTGGAACACTCTTGTGGGACACTCTTGTAGGACACTCTTGTGGGACACTCTTGTGGGACACTCTTATAGGACACTCTTGTGGGACACTCTTGTAGGACACTATTGTGGGACACTCTTGCAGGACACTCTTGTGGGACACTCTTGTAGGAAACTCTTGTGGGGCACTCTTGTGGGACACTCTTGTAGGACACTCTTGTGGGACTCTTGTGGGACACTCTTGTAGGACACTCTTGTGGGTCACTCTTGTAGGACACTCTTGTGGGACACTCTTGTAGGACACTCTTGTGGGGCACTCTTATAGGACACTGTTGTGGAACACTCTTGTGGGACACTGTTGTGTGACACTCTTGCAGGACACTCTTGTAGGACACTCTTGTGGGACACTCTTGTAGGAAACTCTTGTGGGACACTCTTGTGGGACACTCTTGTGGGACACTCTTATAGGACACTCTTGTGGGACAGTCTTGTGGGACACTCTTGTGGGTCACTCTTGTAGGAAACTCTTCACTCTTGTAGGACACTCTTGTGGGATACTCTTATAGGACACTCTTGTCGGACACTCTTCAACTCACAACCTCACGATTCCCTGCGCCTGCCACGAATCTTTCCGCGTCCACACGTCTAACGCGCACAAAGTACTGCGCCTGCCACGAAATGTCACCTCCGTCACACCTCGCAACCTCACCATTCCCTGCGCCTGCCACGAGAATCGCACTTCCACGCCTCAAAACCCGCACAAAGTCCTGCGCCTGCCACGAAAAGTGACAATATCATCTCATGTGAGCTTCAACAAAATTTGCCTCACACCACACGTTTGGAATGATTTCGACCCGTTCTGAGCACACTCCCATCCACCAAAATCGCCATTTCAGCTGAGACTTGTCACGAAAACCGAGCTTCGATGCCACACCCCGAAACGCAAATCCCAATGGCACGGCCACATCCAACACCCCAAAAGCACGACTCTCCAAACGCTAATCCCAATGGAACTGCGCAGCAATCTGCGGATCTCACAAAACGCTGCGCCTGTGCAGCGAAATGCATCACGTTTCTTGCGCGACATGTCATTGTCATGCAAATCACAATGGAATAGTGGCGCAAACTGACACGTGACACATCCATGCAAAGTCACTTGCAAAAGCTTCCCCCAATGGCACCGAATTTGAGACGCAACGACGAGGACAAACGACGACAAACGACGACAGACGACGACAGACGACGACAAACGACGAGAGACGACGAGAGACGACGAGACGACGCAAGCCATGCAAACACAGCTCCAACCCCCAGACCCCCAACTATAAACGGGAACCCTTCGCTACGCATTCGGGAAAAACACTTCTCGGCCAGTCGCCGACACGACGCGCACTTCGGGCTCAGCAAACTGCTGAGCCCGCCTCGGTTGGGGGGGACGTCCATGTCATCGGCTCCGACCGGCACCGACTGGGCACCGATCGACTCAACGAGGTTTCCTACAGCAGCCGGGCGCCCGAAGCAGCTGAAGGCTCCACCGGTCCTCTGGTCATTCACCGTCGCACATCCGAGCGGCCATGTACATCAGCTGGAGCTTTCCTCGCCGACCTGTATCATCACCCGCCAGCTTAAAGAGTTGGCTCAATCCTCGGCACGTTCGACACGCCCTTGCCCTGCACGTTCAGACTGACAGACTGACGGACAAATGAATTGGGTTGGGAAAGTGCGGCAAAGCCCGTCAGTTGGACCTCATTTGACTGGTCAAAAGCACTCTTCAAGCAAGCAAACGCCCTGGACTTAGGCTTCCGGGGGCGGAACTTCTTCATCCAAAAGCACCGCAATCTTCGGTCCAACGGCCCGAAGATACGTCTCGGATCGACCGACTGCTGCGGTGAAAGGGGCTTTGAGCTGGGATCGAAGCACCCAGGAAGAAGACAGCAAGACAGCTGTCGGCGCGCCGCAGCACGGAGTTCGGGTGGTTCTTGAAAGGACTCAATAGATGGTGGGGGGATGTCCATGAAGAACCCTTTCCCTGGTGCTGGGGGAGATGGTTGCTTGATGGTAAAGCCCCAGGGCTCCAACCACCTCCTGAGAAGATGGTTGGGGTGGGTGCACCGAACCTGAGGATATGGGTTTCTGGTCCTTCCTTTGAGAGACGTCTCCGAGGTGGCAGCAGTTGCTGAACATCCGACATCTGACGTCAATGCACCTGGTGACAAGCCAAGGCCTTGAGAGAAGCCTGCACCTTGCGGAAGAAGAGAAGGGGAATACCTCCAAAGCCACTGATCCACCCCCCCGAATATTCCATGGCCTCTTGACCTACCATTTTCAGTGCTCTATGTCTCAGAAAAAATATACTGTACCCTCAAGACCCCAACAGCTCAATTGCCCAAAAGTGGTGATTTGTACCAGGGCCCCCCAAACATTTTGGGGGCGGTGAATGGGTGGTGAATCACCCCACGAGCCTATCACCCCATTCTGGACCCCCATCTAACCCATGGTTTGCCCGGGGGGAACCCCGCCCCACGTGCTTGGCCCAGGCGTCGAAAGCCCGCGGTGAACTCCTTGGGCCCCACTCCGCTGATGTCCTCGGGGTGGGGTGACCCGGGCGCCTTCGACCGTTGACCGGGTGGTGGTTCGGAGTTCGCCCACCACTCCCAGTGAGTGTGGGGGGGATTGAAACACCCAGAGGAACTCCATCCACAAGGATGGTTTCAGAGGTACTTGCTTTGTTGCTTCAAGCAGGCCTATGGTTTCAGAGTAAATGGCACAATCTCCAAGTTTGGTGGTTTATATGGACCCCCATATAAAAGACATCTTGGGGTGCCATCGCCATCTACTGTTGAGGGGCAAACAACATGTCGCAATGCCGTTCAGGCATATTGGGGTCGATGTTCTTCGTCAAGAAGTTCAAGGTCGCGGAGATTCACAGTACCCAGAGACTCCACGTGTGGCATAATATTGACTTATATACATTGGGGTGGTTGAAAGGGGCAGCCTCACCTCCAGGTCGCCTGACAAGCAGCAACTGCGCCCCAGGTTGGAAGGTTCGAAAAAACGGCCAGAAGCGGATGTAGCTTCCTGACCAGGTGTCCAATCCCTGAAGTAAAAAATGGAAACATCTCCAGCTCAACCCTCCAATTCAATTATATTATCCACATCATCACCACCATCATCCTCGTCCTCCTCAACGACTGACGTCCTCACCCATCGTCCTGCGCACCTCGGGCGTCACTCCAGTCCCACCGGTGACCTTCACCTGCCCAGCTGCCAGGTGAAACTCCGCATCGCCGCCGTGGGGGTGGTAGGCTTGCGGCTTGCCCGGCATCAGGTGCAGGTAGTTGTGGCCATCCGAGACCCAGAGTCGGTGGTTCTTCCTCGAGTCATGTGGCGCGAAAAGAAAAACACATGGAAAAAACAGATATCGAAAAACCTGATTCGATCCATGGATTGTTCCTTATTTACTGGGCGGCCCAGAACCAGGAAACGAAAACAACAATCATAAGCAAAGGCCAAGGGTTCAGGTTCACGAGGGTGTAGCGCCGCGTCACCTGGCACGGACCGCCGACGACGGCGACGACGGCAGACGGGTCAGGCGAGCCGGGAGGCAGCGGTGAGGCAGTGGTGGAAGAGCCCATATTTCAGTGAGCGTGCGTGCGAGCAACCTTAAGTGAAGCAAAAAGGTAGGACTCCTGTGACTCGACCGACTCCTGTCGATCCCCAATCCCCACAAAAATGTCATGGCGTAGATTTCAGAGAGGCACACAGAGGAGCTCAAGCTACATCTCTTTCAGCTTCTTGAAAACGTCTTGCCGTCGTTTTCCAATGCAACACATTCGGTCGATGTTCGTTGCAACAGGGCCCCGGCCTCAACGACTAAGGTCCGGTAGAAGGGGAAGGGCGCCTGGTTGACAGAGAAACCCAAGCACAAGCTGTCAGGGCCATCCTCTACCGCCAAGAAGGGCAGCACACCACCTAGGCTTTGGTCAGAGTAAGTTGAGGAGGTGAGTTGGAACCCGTGGTCAATTTGTGGTCACTGGTCACGGGGGGATTGCCTCCGAGCAGACCGAGAAGAAGGACCTATCACCAGCATGTGTCTGTGTGACTGGGAGGGGCGGATGCAAGGCATGAGGAACGAGAGGACACAACCAAAGGGTCCCCAGATGTCTCCAGGGTCTTGAAATAGATTGAAAAAGGATCCAGTTGCTAGGGAGGGACTTTGAAACCACAGCCACAGCCCACCAGTTTGGCTCACCGGCAAAGGGGGTGGGCATAGTCGCTGTGCTTCGTCTTGGCAAGCGATCGAAGACCGCCCTCGACATCCCACAAAACGAAAGACCCCCAGATTCTCGACTCACACACGAAGCTTCACCCGAATCTATTGTTTTTGAAAAGTCTCATAGAATTGGAGTAAAATCTCCCATCATCTCCGCCCCTCCCCCTCCCCCCCCTAGATGCAGCGGCGGCACCTTTCCTTGGTCTATCCACTTTGATGCTCCCCGTCTTCGAACCCTTCCTCGCTGCACGAGTGCCCACGGCACACGGCACACGTGCGTATTCGGCGAGAGAGCCGGAGAGTTGGGCATGTCATGCGGGTGGGGTGGAAAACGCTTTTCTCCTCTTGTTGGGGAGAAAAAAGTAGTATAATATATATATATATATTACCCTATGCGTCCAAGACTTACTTTGCTTAAGTTCGACTTAGATTTGCAGCCTCGACTTAAAAGTGTACTGTCTAGACATACCGCGACACGATCCCCTTTGGATGGTAGCACGGGGTCTGAAAGCCAGGAATCAACAGTGCATGGAACATAATTACGGTTAAATAAGTTCAACACCGTTGTTGTCAAATGTGTTTTAACTGCTACTGCACATACTGGAGTTATACTGATCGCATGTTTGTATCCGTGACACGTGCGGATCTTCTCGCCCATTCGGACCAAATGAACAGTGGACTGACCATGGACAAACCGTGGAACGACTTGAAAAAGGCATGGAACGACTTAAAAAAGTCGTGGAAAGACTTAAAAGGTCGTGGACACCCACCCCTGAGAATCAACTTAAAACATGTTTTACACAGCACTGTCCACGAAAAAAATCCACACAAAGGATGAACAGATTGGCTTCGTGCCCGGTGAAAGGGTTGGAAAACGGCTTGACGATTTGAGACTATGTACATGCACATGCGAAAACATGGGTTGAAGCTCTATTTGATGATGTTCAGATCACTTCAACATGACATATATATAAGTTCCAGGAAAGGTCAAATACAGTGACTCTTTTTAGGTCTTTCATTCCCAGTTTAAGTCTTTGCTGGAAGACCTCGATTTTCCAAGACTTTGAAAGTTTAGGGTATATATATATAACACCCCAAGTACCTCAAGCTATCGCAGTTGAGAATTGAGAAAACACTCGCTAAAAAATGAAAGTGTTCTCTTCCATCGTGAAGCAACCCTTCAGAAATACAATCATATACAATCCACATGGTAGATCCTAGTAAAACATGTTTTAGAAATCCTCAAGCTGCCGGCGTCGACCACAGGCTTCCCTGAGGGTCGATCTCAGTTCGAAGCCCACTCAAACTTGATACGAGTAACAGCTCTATAATCTGTATGACATTTTCTGACAAATTTTTCGCAAAAAGAATGCAAAACCGGGTAATTCACCATGGTAAAACCCGCATGTAAAACCCCAAACCATCGCAAACACATCTCCGTTCACATCTCCAAACCGTCCACGGAACCACCCAACGCCGCCCCACAGCACCTCCCTTCCGGCCCGGTCGCTGCGAGGCGAAGAGCGTCTTCCGCCTTCGCACCGTCCGCTGCAGCGACGGCCGCGCGTTGCTCGGCGTGTGGCCCGGCGCCTCGCTCGCCTCCGGCGCGCGGAGGCCAATCTCCAGCGATCCGTCGGCCCTGGCCGCGGGGCCCGAGGTGGCGTGGCGGACGTTAGGGGCGCCCTAAAAAGGGGCCGCCTGTCGTTGTTTTTGTGTGTTCTTGTTCTGAGCTCTTTGGCTGGGAGCTCATGGGCACCCTTGGATTTTTCGTAGAGGTCTTGTTCTTGCTGCATGGTCCCAGGTGTTTTTTCCAGATTACCGTGATAAATGGAGGCTGGGGTGAAAGAAAAAGAAAAAGAGATAGAAAACTGGTGTACTACACCCCAGCCTCCATTTACAGTAGGGGTGTCACTACACCCCTACAGTAGACGTGTCACTCTTCCAAGTCAGATTTCGTAGCAGGAAATCAGAGAGGTTGCAGATTCCGTGGCACAGGAGGGGGGGGTTGGGGGAGAAGTCACCACGCCCAAAAGAACACACAAACCGTTTTAAGAAGCCACTGGAAGCCAGTCAACTGTAGCCAAAAGCCAAGAGAAGCTACCAAAAGCCAGCATCCAACAGAAGTTACATGAGGCTACCAATAGTCAACAGGAGCCATCAAGATCCAACAAAATCCAAGAGAACCACCGAAAGCAGAACATCAAAAACCAAACCACCTTGCAAACAAACAGCAGTCTAACAAACCAAAAGCCGTAACAAAACCACCCTCAAAGTTCAAAAGCCAAAACCAGCCACCAAAAAGCTAAAGCCAGGGCCAGGTCTAGATGCCCAAAGCCACGGCCAAGGCAGAAGCCACGGAGCCAGGAAAAAGCATTGAAAAAGCTGAAGCCAAATAGAAACCATAAAAGCAAAGCCTGAATCAAAAAAACAATAAATATACCATCATAGTTTCCAAACAAAAATATCCTATTAAAAGATAACAAATGTAGAATGATGCCGCACAGATATACCATGATATACCCTTCCAGGGAAAAGGGTGTGCTCCAAGTGGGGAAGTCATTTCACTTCGTCGGGGGTGGTATGTCCTCCTGTGTGTAGGGCCCCCAAAAGAATGCTACACGGTCAGTATGTCTCTGGCAGTTACCCAGGTTCCAAAGACATCCAAAACGTTCCGAAGCACGTGGCTGCAACTGGTCCGGTCCTCTGCTTCACCACCAAAGACAACACGCGTTGGACAAAGAGAGAAGACACCAAAGACGACGACGCCGCCGGCAGCAGCAACAACAACACCAGCAGCAACCACCAGCAGCAACAGCAACAGCAACAACACCAGCAGCAACAGCAGCAACAACAACACACAAAAAAAGAAGAACAACAAGCACCACGACGCCAACAACGCCAACAACGCCAACACCCTGACTCACGCCAACACCCAAAAATCACCGAAAAGAGATCTCCATGGGACCAAAACCTCCGTTCGCCGGGTCGGTCGGCCCGGCCGGCCCGGGACCGTCGGCCCGGGAGGTGAGACGCGAAAGACGTCTCAAGCCGAGCCGCAGGGCGTGCTGCGACAGGGGTCTCAAGCCTCGCGGTTCCGACGCGGTTCCGACGCGGAAAGAAACGACACGTGCGGAGGACGTACGGCGCGGAGGACGTCGGTGGCACCGCTGAGAAAACCGGTTGAAAGCACCTTCAACAGACCGAGCCCTGTCTCTGACTGGCATACGATGGCATACGTAGAATACGTTGAAGGTTGGGCTGCCCAGCATGGTTGAGGGGAGGGGAGGAGTCAATGGATGGAAATTCAGTGGATCAAGTCCCATGGAGGTCTGTGGGCACCAAGAACAGTCATAGGGTGTCTTTGCCCTTGTGATGCGGAAATCGAACCCTCTGGGATGTCCTTGGATCGGTCAACACCCCGAAGCAACAGGGCTCCAGCAGGCTCTAATCTTCGCCTATCATGCCTTTGTATTTTCCTCCTGCACTGCAAGTCCAAATAAACACCTCATCGTGTGGGTCAATCATTGCCAATCGCAATCTTACCTAGCTTTCTCAGAAATGTTTCAACCACTGTACCATGGGAAGGCACGAAAAAGGGACGCCTGCACCACGGCGTCCCACTCTGAAGCACTATGTGCAGGACAGAAAGATGCGAACGAAGGTTGGAAGGTGAAAAGCCAAGGGGTTGGTCCAAAACCAGCAACCATCGCTACGGGCCCAACCACCCCCTCCTAGAGATCCTAGAGGAGACCTGGCAGTTTTCGGATGCAGAGATACTACCGCTCCATCCCGCTCGCACCCGCTCGCACCGAGGCGTTCCCATATGTTCCCATGGCAGGACCGCAAAGGACTTGCATTGAATAAACATGTTTTAATTCCTCTTTTTGCTTGGTTTCTTTTCTAGCGATGGCCTCCAGCCTCTCCAAATCTCTCCAACCTTCTAGCGATGGCCTCCAACCAACCTACCGTCCACGTCAGGACCGCAAAGGACTTGGCTGGATGCAAACCGCTCTGAGTTCAGTCCCAGCGGCCATGCCCCGGGATGACCATCATCGGTTCGTCCACCACGTGCCGCGAGCGGCTCAGACCGACCGAGCGTGGATGTGGGATCACGACCTCAGCGTGGATGTGGAGCAACGTTGGATCACGACATGTTAAGACTGAGTTTTACCCCTGCAACCTAAGCTAACTTCTGCAGATGTACAGATTCTGTTGCAGGTATTGGTCAAAAGGACATGACATGCAAGTCTTGCAACAGAAAGTCAAACAATGACAAGCCACCATGATCTCCCTACCATGTCGATCTTGGGCGGTGTGGGATTAGAACTGCTAGTGAGAATGGTGAAAAAAAGTTAAAAGGAGCCAAAGCTTTTCATGTGTCCACGTCCAAGGGTCAACAACTAGAACTCCAAAACCCTTCCCCCAAAAAAAGTGACCCAAAACTCTGCCTTTCCGGCAGTCTCAGTCTCGCCCAGTTCGCCTCAGCCTGGCTCCAGAGAACTCCAGAAACGTCCCGAGAAAGTCTCCGCCGAGGCACCGGGGCGTTCTGACGGTTCACCAGCCAGTGGCTCACGAACAGCGTGAGCTGACCTTGGCGACGTGACAGGCAGTCTGAGGCCGCCATGACGAGACTCTTCAGACACGGGTCTTGGACCCGCGGCCAGTTCGACGGTGGTACCGGTCCGGAGATCGTTGTGGAGAGATCGGGAAGACGCAGGCGTCGGAAAGGCATCCGGACTTCGGGGGGGGTCGGACGAGAGAGAGTGTGTGTGCTTCGAAGGATATCCATAAGAAAACGCGATGTCTTTCAAAATACCGTGTCTTCCAGTTACTACCAAGACCTTGGAGTCAAAAGCAATGGAACATGGACCATGAGAGAAACAATACTGGCTATGTTGAAAGGCTACAAAATGGATCACCCGGCGGTAATCACGCTACAACAAAAAGAAAGAACCCCCAAGAGACGCAAGCGCGACCTGTTCCCTGCCGTAATTAAGTCGGTGTATCTGTGTATCGGTGCGGCGCATGATGGAACCCGCGGTGCCGGCACAATGAACTCTTCCATGTATGGAATAGTTAGATGCGTTGGGGTCAGCAATGGGGTACGGTATATTCAATTGTATGTGAGACTATTCCGTACATGGATGATCTGGGAAGCTTCATGCCTTCAACGAATCGTTGGCAGCGTCCCTCTCTGCCGCCCAGCTGCTCGTATGGCTTCCGAACTGCGTGCAGTGCAGGCCTGGCCAATAGCAGTGCCTCAGAGAGGGAAGTTCTGGAAACCTTTGGAGAGTGGATGGATGAGAAACCCCAGCGTTTCGCCCACCATGAAGGCTGAAGGTTGACCTCCCAGCTTCACCTCCCAGAGCCAACAAAGGACCTGGCATGAGGCTGCACGTGGGCGCAGCCAGCCTGGCAGCCAGCGGCTAGACCTTTGGATGATCAAGCCACATTCAAGGAACAAAGCTTGGGCTTCCCCTTCTCCAAAGTCTGCTGTTCCGTAGCTCCAGGAGGAAGCAAGCGAAGCGAAGCTAGGTCTCAAACCTGGTTGAGAATTGTTGAGATAGAAATGGTAATATTGGTAATAGTAGAGAGATGCACACTGATCCACTTTCAATATCTTTCAATCTGTTTGTGAATTGATTTTGAAGCAGTTTTCATATAATATATATATATATGTATTTATTTATTTATATGCTTTAGTTATATATCGTGCCAGAATCCTACGGACCTGGGTTCCTGCCCTCCACGCCGAGACACTCTTGAACGACCCCTTCTTCCTTCTGCACCTGTACTTCCACCAGCTTGTCTCCTGCGATCCGCCGGCGGAGCCTTGTCTCCACGCAAGTCCTGACTCCTTCGAGCCTTTTCACACCAGGCATACTCATTCACCCAAGAGAATTTTTGAAGTTGCCCAAAGTCTGAGGTTTCGAGGTGGAAATGTACGAATCTGCAACATCCATTCACTCTTCCTACCCCTTCATTCAATCAATCACCCAGGTTCTTCCAATTGGAGCCCCAGACCGTCCCCGCAAGGCTCTCCCACCCCGACCTCCCCTTCCATCCCCGCTCTCCTTTTCCCTTGAAGCAGCACGGCGCCTTGTTCCGCCCCAGCAGTGACTGCTGCGAGCGGACCGGCCCCCCGGCGGTCATGGCGCCGCCGGGTTCCAGGAGCCGCTGGGGGCGCTGGAGCACGTAGCGCTCGGGTAAACTCGGGGACTCCTGCGCCCAAGACCACGAGTGGGTGAAACCAGGTGGGAACTCCGGTGGAAAGGGCGGAACTGGCCGTGCCCGAAAAGGAATGTGCTTTCAAAGCTCGGTCCCTGCAGTGGACATGGTCACATCGCTGCCCTTTCAGCACCTCTTTCTCTCCTAGCAAATCTCCAAGTCACTACCTCCTCCAACAGCACCCCCCCTAACTGTGCCACGCGTGTCATTATGGTGCTTCATGGTGCTTCATGGTGCTTCCACCCAGCGCGTGTACAAGGGAGTAGTTTTCAGCGTGTACAATGGACTCGTGGCATGCCTGCCTCCAACCCCACCCCAGGTTCTGGAACTCCTCTTCCCGCCCTCATCCTTCCCTTCACTCCCTTGCGATCCCTAGAACGCCCCACTTTCAGACCCCTCCTCCTCCTCTTCCTCCAGCATCTCGTTCTCCTCCTCTGCCATACTCGTCACGGAGGCCCGGAAGGACGAGGACTTCGACCGCGCCATCGCCACACGTGCGTCCTGGCGGCGGGGACACGGGCGGGGCGGAGCCACGTGACTAGCTTGGCGAAGGGACAGAGCAAGACGCTGGAGAACTCTCTTTGTAATCTAGTTCGGATACTATCTACGGAACAAAAGTTGGCCTTCACATGCCTTCCATTTCCATTTGGAGTCGTTTGCCTGCCCTGACCGCTGAAACGTGCCACGCAGCATGTGTGTTGCCCAGCATGTGGGTCCGGTGGCCCCTGTCACGAGTTGGACCAGACAGGTTTTGCCGTGTTTTGCCTATTCTTTTGGTGGAAATGGATCACTGTCCAATAGTAGCCCCTTAGAGGTTAAAGGGTGTTCATGAGCCACCTTTCGTATCCTTTTGTGGGTGGTGCACTCCAATCCTCCAACCATCGCATTTCAAGACCTACATGGTGCCCGAGTTGGGCCAGCACCTAGTTCTTGCTAGCTCTCCCTGATGACCGTCTCGCATGCCGGTTTGATCGCCCTGAACCACCAATGACCTCAAGCGACCACGCGCAAAAAGAGGCCCCTGTCCGATCTGGGGAGGAGGAGCTCCAGCTGCATCGAGTCTAAATCCGGACCTGAGTCACATGACGCGAATGGCAAACCCCAGGCGTTTTGGAGGTGTCCTTTGTATATATATATATATATAGTATACAGTAATATAACGTTATCTACAACTCTTCTAATCCATGTTCCTTGATGAACAACATCATCCTCTATCCTACGACCATCCAGCAGCCTGCAGCGGTTTTCGCGCCAAGCTGCAGTCGGCGTCCTCGCCAGGCAGCAACCTCACCGTGCCAGGCGCATCCTTGTCGCTGGCGCCGATCGGGGTCAGCCTGGCCGTTTTCTGGTTGGCCGTGCGCGACGAAGGTTGGAGCCCCCAGCAGTGTTGCGGCGTTTCAACCGATGCCGCCGTAGAGCCTCTACAAATTTCTGCAAGATTTTGGGGGATGAGTAGAACAAGCAAAAAGAAGGAACACCGACCATCGGCTCCGTTTGGCTCATTGATTTAGACTGATCAGTTTGCCCAGTACTCAGCCACCCAGTGCAAGACTCGGTCCATGAACTGAATTCCACCTCACATCCGCGCTGCCCTCCTTGCTGCCAAAGCTCTCCAAGCTGCAGCAGAGTCGATTGCAGACTCGAACCATGTGCTCCACCGTCACCAGGAAGAACAAGGAATCCACGGGAGACCTGTGGAGGTCTCAGCCAGCCAGGGAGGAGCAGTCACAACCCCCAGGGCCCCCAGGCCTGTCTATAGCTCCTTACAGTTGAGGTTAAGGGATGTCCATGAACCACCCCAAACCAGGGGGCCCCCCTGGTAAATGGTCATGTCACGCAGTTCGCAGGATCGATGGTGCCAGGATCGCGCGGTCGATGGAATTGGAGAAGTGTTGGTCTGCGGTCCGTGGGTGTCTCGGTTCGTTCCAAGTTCGGTCCATAGAAGGTCCACGAAAACGTCCCAAACACCCACCACGACGACTCTGAAAGCTCTGAAAGCTCTGAAAGCTATAGACTCATTCAGAAAAATCCCCACAGCTCTACTGCATGTGCCATGGCTTCCCATCCCTCGCTTCCCAGGATGCCAGCATGTCCGAGACACGGCGGTTCGCTTCGAAGGGCGGAGTCCCGCCCACTGAAATCCACACCGCACCCCAAAAAGTCCACCTCAAGCTGATTAGCCACACCCAAGTCCCAAGACCCCATAATATAGAACCTGTTGTTGTTGTTGTTGTTGTTGTTGTTGTTGTTGTTGTTGTTGTTGTTGTTGTTGTTGTTGTTGTTGTTGTTGTTGTTGTTGTTGTTGTT